CCGGGAGCGGGACGGGACGCGGCCCCGCGGGGCGCCCGAGCCGCGGGAAGCGCCGCGGGCCGGCCCCGTTCCGCGTGTTCGTGCATTCATTCCCACCTGGAACGCTCCTCGGAAGTTTTCAGTAGTACCTTCACCCACGCGGGTGAGGAAGACCGGCGTGGGTGCGAGCGCTTGTGTCTCTCTAAAGTGAAACGGCCAGGAAAATAAAACCCTCTGTGCTATTTCCACTGGAGAGAGGCTTTCCTGGGGCTGAACTTCAGGTGTGGCTGCGGCTGTACAGGGGAGGAAAAGCAGAGGAGAAAACGGGCCACAAAACATCAGCGAAGCAACTGCGAAGCAACTCAGGAGAATATAAGGAAACTATGAGGTTGTTCCGAAGGGTTGAGCTGCTCTGTCTCCCACTGAGCAACAGCAACAGACTCACTGGACCTCACTGGAGCCCGGGATCTGTTTCTGAGCAAAGTCCAAGCACGTTATTGCCCAAGGTGCAAGAGCCACAACCATCACCGGTGTATTAGAGCACCGTAACTTTCCTTTCCGACGAGCCATTGCAATGAGCTTGATGCCAAAGTTCTGTCTGGAAGGGTTAATAGCAGGGCTCGGCTCCTGCAGCACTTTCCTCTTCATTATTGGAGATGTCTGGTTCCCCATGGGCATCTTACAGGGCCTCATGGATGTCCACTGCTGCCTTAAAGACAAATTTTTATATTATTGGTGATTTTTAAAAAATTTATTATGCAAACACTTTCATTTCTTTCTCCAAACAAGTTCTATGTACAGAATCTGCTACCAGAATTTCTTTTGTAAGAAGTAACTGCTTTCTCATATGTCCATCCATTTCCCCATCTTGCTTTCAAGACTGTGCTTGGACATTTAAAATGTCTATCACCTTATGTGCTTTATTTTTGGTTATATAAACACAAGATAGCATATGCATTATTAAGTCTTTTCCATGATTTTTAGCTAAAAGCTCTTTCAGAAACCCACCAAAGTGTTTTCTTACAAATAACCAGTATTTCCTCTGTTTGGCAACCTGAAACAGAGGGCCGAAATAGCATATGTGAGGCTGCAGACATGAGACACGTCTATTAGTAATGTTAATTGCCAATGCCACTAAAGAGGATGCTGACACATATGCCCTAATTATAGGGCAAATTCTTCAAAAAGTGCATTTGACAAACACTGTTGTCCTAATGGGTGGTGTTAGCTCCATTTACTCTCGGTGGTGGATTTCAAAGTGTAGGACACTGGGAAGCCGGAGGGGCTGTTTCCAAAGCTGAGCTGGAGCTGGAGAATGCAGAGGGACGAGCAGCAGGTTGGGTCGAATCTTGCAGCAATTGGCCTCGGGCCTTGGAAGAGCTGTAAGGTCTTGTCTGTTCCTGTTGAACTAATTACGGGGTAAATTGTCACACAGATTAGTGAAGTTTCATTAACTCCCTGAACTGAGTGAAAAAGACTTTATGGCAATGAAAAAACATATGAAACATCTTTCACTTAAAATGTATTAAATCTGCTTATTGTGTTTGAAATAAAAATTTCCGGCACTAAACTCGGTGAATAATACTTGATCATACTGCTATTCAAAAGGGAAGCTGTGTCTCTCAGATTAAAAAGCCCACACTGGTATCCCATCTTACTGTAATAATTGTTATTGATTTATTTGCGTTATGGTAAAAGAGAGAGGTCCAGCTAAGGCAGGACACTGCAGCTTGCACTGTTTCCCACTGTCAGACAGACATTTCCACTCCAACAGTATCCGGAGGATCTTTAACTGGGCCCTCGGCTCCCACTTCAAAAGGCCTTTGCATTTTCATTTAGGCCTTTTCACTGTGAAGTGGCCGCCTTTGATGGCTGCCTCCACGCCAACATCCAAACGATGCTCGTGTTATTAGAGCTTTCTTGCGGGTGAGCTCCCCACGCTCCGGGAGGCAGCCAGGGAGCCAGGACTGGACTGAGCAGGTTGCCGAGCTCGGGCCCATTGCGTCCACCCTGAAACTGCCGCGGGCCCTGGGCCCGCTCCTATGGAGGCAGCCGGTCTTCAGGTGCACCCCGGGCTCAGTCTCAGGGGCCCCCCTCTCAGTTTCCTCCGGCGCTTTCTCTCCCGGCTCACGCTCTCTGTTCTGCCTCCCAGTCGCTTGGCCGCTCCCTGCACCCGGTTTTAGACTTTGGCCTACTGGCATGTCAGACCTCCTCACCTTACGGGTATAATAGATTTGTTGATCCCTTAGGGTGGTGTAAGAGGCAAAATACCATCCGATTTCAGTAACATTAGGAAAAGTGTACATAAGGGGAATCACGAGAAAGCAGCTGCATCTGACCCTTGCACTGCATGATGCTTCTGTCTTGTAGTTCAGTGCTGCTTTGGACAGGGACTGCATGACTCCTCTTTTTGCTTTTTGGTTTTTTTTTTTTTTTTTTTTTTTTGGTAATGCCCAAGAATACTATAGGATGTTTATTGTTCTCCCTCCCTCCCTTACTTCTATGAGTCAGTTAACCATTAACTGCACTTGAACACTCATTGCCACTGCACATCCCTGTGAGCTGGCTCCATCCTAGGCAATGCAGCCGGGGGTCCTGGAGGGTTGCTCTGGATCTCGGGGGCCTGGAAAGCCATATGGAGAAGGAAGAGACTAGTTACCCTCTGTACGCTAAGTACATCACTGGAGTATAACAACACTGCTTAAAATTACAATGTTTTGTAAAAATGACGCCGTGATTCTGCTTTATCAGGGGATACTTCTGTTCCTGACAGAGCCAGAATCTGAGGAGTACCACGTGTGCCAACTGCTCTCCTGACAGAAGCTGCGTAACCTCCTCTTCCTCCGTAACTACCATGCACATAAACATAAACATAACCACTATAGGCCAATACTTGGGGCATGGCAGAATTATGCTTTTAACATATTAAGGTTATATGCTAGAGCAAGCATCTTATTAAGACAGGCTTCAACAAAAGTGACTAAACAAGGTACAAGAGGTTATTAGAAGCAAAAAAACAGTTTCAAAAAGCTGGAGTCATATCCAAATGAAGAAAATTGAAAATGTCATAAATCATGTCTGATAACATATAAAAATACAAATAAACGGACCCAGAGAAAGAGCTGGGAGGAACAGCTTGTTAAAGGACTCTGAGCAAGCACTAAACCTTCTTCAAACACATCAAGAAGCTCACCAGAGAATGCGTGTGCCCAATCAATCATCACACAGAGGGCGGATGACCTCTTCAGAAAAGTCACTGTTATTCACTGTGGAAAAACTGGCAAAACCCACATGCCAGAATCCTTTTCTAGAAGGGGATTTGGCTGAAATTGTACGTGAAGAAGAGGTTGTGTAACAAACTGGCAACACGAGCATTAACAAATCACGAATGTTATTTCATCTAACAGTTCTAAGAAGACTTACATTAGCCCTTATCGTAGTCCTTAGCACCTGAGCACTGGAGTGTGACAAGTAGATACTGATTGTAAAAGAGTTTTCAGGAAGAATCAAGGAAACGGCAAGACTCTAAGTCAGACCTCTGAGCAGATAGTCTGTAAAAAAGGATAGAATGAGTAGCATGAGCGATTACTGGGCTAATACAGGTTACCTCAGGAGAGTAAATGTGGCTTCTAGAAAGGAAGTCCTTTACAGTCATCTTGGAGATTTCTGAAGGGAGTCAGCAAATATTTGGATCAAGCCAAGCTGATACAATTTCCTTGGATTTACAAAGACTTTTGACAGGACCCTGATCGGAGTTTTTGAGGAAATTAAATAGTCATGGCATTAAAGAGAAGGTCATTTCATGGTAAATAACTGGTTGGAAGTTAGGAAGAAGAGGGTGAGAAAACTGCTTCGTTACTGCACTAGAGGAAGGTCACTACTGTTGTTCCTCAGGGCTCTGTGCTGGGATTGCTGTTTCTCACTGCACTCTTTAGTGACTTGGGAAAGAAATGACCAGCGAGGTGAGAAAGTTTGCTGGTAATATGTAGATATTCAGGGGAGTAAGGTTGAAAGCAGACTGTGATGGACCACCAGAGACCCTAATAAGACCAAGTGACTAAGAAATTAAAAGATAGGTAAAATCTGGCTCCTGTAAATGTTAAATGACACTCATAGAAACAAACAAACAAACAAAACTCCTAAACCCTAAATTCACATATAGACTGGCTTTCACATGTAAGCAATGGGCTCTGAGCTGTGTGTTATTGTTCAGGAGCAAAGTCTTCACGATGAGCATAAGGTGAAAATATCAGAAAAAGAAAATGATAGAAGTTTTCAGAAAAGAAAAATTAATTCATGTTGTGCTTAAGTCTTGCATACCTCATAGAGGTCTGTTCCTTAGCCTAGAACTAGAAAGGATTTAGAAAGAGAACAAAGACATTCAAAAATATTACATGACTTCTATATGAAGAATGAATGAGTAGGCTGATTCTTCAGCCTAGTACAGGGATTATGTAGGGAGATTATGACATAGCACATAGAAAAAAAATGATACAAAAAGGATAGGAGGGGATTGATCTTGGCTTTTTTTTCCAGTACAAGAAGTGGCCATCAAAAGGAACTAATAGGAGCTGGGTTCAATGCCAAGAAAGGAGATTGTTCTTCACACAATAGATGAGCTTATAGAACTCCTTGCCAAAGACTATTATGGGTACAAAAGATTATATAGCTTCAAGGGGAGACTGCAGAAGTATTTAAAAGAGAGATTTGCTCAAGGTTACTTAACAGTCACTCATAAAAAAAACTTGAGTTGAAAATGTGCAAATTTTGAGAGAGCTTCATGTATGCTTGTTCTATTCTTGCTCTTCCTTATGTACGCTTAGGGCACATGGTGGTGACAAGATACTGAGGTAAGTGGTCTGAACCAGTTGGGCCATTTGTATCTTCTAGTAGCTATGGCTGGAAAACATATTTGGGAAAGGAGCTCATGGCAGAGTACCATCAATTCTAGATGGGCTGAGAATTGGACTAAGTGTATTAGAAAGAGGCCTCGGTGTTAAAAATCTGCCTCTGGGATCTCACCAGCCACACAGATCCATGTCTACACTCCTGATACATGTCACGTGTGCTTCATGTGGCTATAGGGGGGTCCTAAACTTGGAAAAGACCTCCCTGTGGTTTTTATTAACCAATTTTTATTAACCATTATATCCTTGGGAGCTGGACAGATCCCCTATTGATAGTGGACATTCTCAACTGCTACAGTCTCAGAGCAGGAGATGCACATATATGTTTACAGTTAAAGCTCCAAATGTGCAGTGATACATAAGGCTTCTGTATACTGACTGTGAAAGATAAATTTAACACAGTATGTGAAAGTTTGTTTTGTGATGTACATCAGCTCATCTTTTAGAAGAAAATAATAGCAAGATTTGCAGACATACTAGCTAACATCAACTGGATTGGTTTACTTAGATTCTCATATTTTCCAGCATTGGAGAGGGTGGAGGGGAACAAGAAAGGCACGAAATCTGATAGAAATTATCACTTTAATTTTCATTTAAGGAAATTAAAATAAGTTTAACATATAATAAAATTCTCATATTTGAAAATAAAGTAGCAAAAAAAAGTTCTTAGTTAAATTGTTTGAACTAAAGGCACCACACTAATGCCAGTATAGTTATTAATGTCCCAGAGAAAAATCTGTTTCTATTTACATGTTCTGTTCTGGAAAACAAGATGCAGCAATTGTGATACAAAAAAATCAGAATGCTTCTGAAAATATACCAAGGAAAATGAATTATAGGGTGAAAGTGCCTTCTATTCCAGCTAAGAAGCAGATTAGAATTTAATTATATCACTGGTATTTCTTATGATTAGCTCTGAACTCCACAAGTGCTTCTGTTGGTTACAGTGGGACCTGCAGGAGAAAGCAGGACTCCTTGTGTAGGTAGTAGTATCAGCATCCAGTTTTCACTCTTCTGAATTTGCATAAATGCTCCTGCCACTGAGGCTGAAAGTGCAGCACATTCACTCTCCTCCTTTTCAAAATAACCAGGGGTTGTTCATGCCGGTCAGCTACGAGTATAGAGCATCAAAAGAACAACACAGAGAGTATGATTGATTAAAAATATTTTTAGCTTTGCTTTGTTTGTAGCAGGCGAGTTTTACTGGGAAGATCAGATAAAAGGCACATTTGTGCTTCAGATTAACTCACTGGCTAATCATCTGCTACATTCAGTGACAGCAAGTCTACGTATTTCCAATTGCTAGGTATTTATTTTACCAAATGTAAACACTTGTAGTGTAGACAATGACCTCCAAGTTGCCTAATTACCTTTATTTTCTCATTTATTTATCTCATTCTAAGGTCATACATCTAAAACAGGCTGAGTGAATCATGCCTTGAAAGAGGCTTTTTCTCTCCAGCGAATATAGAGGGAGTCTGGCCGGACAAGCTCAGGTGCAGCAGTGAGCACTGCGAATGCCTAAGTTAGGTGAGAGAAATCTCCACCTCACCTGTTTGCACAAGTATTAAAAAAGAGTAATTCTAATAAAGTATAAAAATGAAAAATAAACAAACTGTCCTCAGGCTTTAAAACAAGTTGTTTTAATCTTTAGCAACGCAACTCTTAATTTAGAGTTTGATTCTACTCTCATTGAAGTCTATAGCTATGTGTTTTAAGAGGAACTTAATGAGGTTTGTCACTTACTTGTGTTTACTCTGTCATCAAGTATGTTTAATTGCATTTAATGACAAATGGCCAATTTCCAATGGCCAATTAGCCAATACCTAAGGAGAAATACATGTATATTCTGTATATGTAGGTTATGTTAAACAGGATATTTTTGTAAATTAGCTTCTTTTTCTTCCACCTTTCAAGTGAAATATGTGTGAATAGTAGAGATAAATCCTTATTTGTATATGCATTTAGTGATTGCAATGAAAATAACACCAGAAAATAGAGATACTGATTCCTTCTGCAGCATGATTAACCCTTTAATTAATACATATAATAAATAGAGTCGGGCAGGGTGGTGTTTCTTTTAAAGTGACAGAGCTGAATTTGCTTTGTGCCATGTCACTTCTGCAGAGATCCTCAGTGATGGACCCGGATTGGTAACAGGTATGTTGATTGGTAACAGGCTATATGTTGAAACGCAGGCAGTTCCATCTCCAGGTGAGGAAGAACTTCTTTCCTGTGAGGGCTCTGGAAGAGGCTGCCCAGGGAGGCTGTGGAGTCTCCTTCTCTGGAGATCTTCCAAACCCGCCTGGCTGCCACCCTGTGCCCCGTGCTCTGGGTGTCCCTGCTGGAGCAGGGGGTTGCACTGGATGATCCCTAGAGATCCCTTCCAACCTCAACCCTCCTGTGATTCTGTGTCCTGCTTGTAGCACCGAGTACAGCCAAGCTTTAGTTAGAAAAGGGAAGTCTGAAGAAAAGCTGGGGGTTGGGGGTACGTGATGGAAAGGGATGCCTGTCTAAATGAACCTGGGTGAAGATTTACAGTGTAGCCAGGCTGTGATCCAGCCCTGATAGCAGCGTGTAGACCTGGGTGAGCAGTGGGCATGTCCTTGCATGCCACTGTGACCATGGTGGATGATGCAGGAGCACTCTTGGCAGAGGTAAAGGCACATGATTTGTCCTCCCTTCCCTCCTTGTTAAATTCACAGTGAACATCTAACTTGCTTCACAGGTAATTTGAATGTGCAACTGTTAAAAATGTCCTGAAGAAAAAGAGAGATGGAATTCAGGTGAAGGAAGAAGGATCTGAGTGAGACAAGAAGTCTTCTTATTTCCATCTATAAATGTGCTCCAGAGTAAAACAGGAAGAATAAGGAGAGCTGGGCTGCTGAGGCAGCCATGTGGGTGGCAGTGGGAGAGAAGGACAACTCCTCTTGGCACTCAGCAACAGGTCCCGGCCAACTCCTATGGGACCCCCTGATGCAAGGACAAAAGAAGGCTTAGAAGGATTCTTCTAAATACATCACAAAGTGAAGTAGCAGCTCTACATACTAATGATTAGATTAAATTAAAAGAACTGGATCTGTATGGGAATGGCAGGTGAGGGACTCTGCAGGGCACTTGGTCGCACAAGAGGAGAACTGAACCACACAGGGAAACCTCACGTGAGCTGCCACTGCGTGTCGGACGCAAGTGATGCAAGGAAAAGGCTTTTACCTTTCCTCTGCCCACCCCGCTCCTGTGGGATGAGGTTTTTGCTAAACAAGCCAAAGTTCTCCTGTGCACCAGCTCTGTTTACTGTGGCATTTCTGGCTTTCATTCATTTTGGCGACTTTCAGTTGCAGGGACAAATGTAACTTCTTGTGGATAGTCAATCTCTCTGAGCACATAAGTGGGGACTTTAATGATGAGTCCTTTAATGACAAGTACTGGAGATAATTATGTGTATTGCTGCTGGGGTGACTTTAGCACCTTTGGTGCTCTCTTCCTTGGTAAAATCTGTGCTTGAATTGTTCTAATTGTGTCAACCTGTATTTAAGAAAATTTGGTTCAGTCTTACTGAAACTCTAGGTCCCGAAGGGATGCAGAATTAAGAAGTCTTTCTTGTTCCAATTGAAATAATTATATTAGTAGTTTTCCTGTGAATTATAACTTTGTTATTTAGTCTTACAGACATTGTATTTCATCCTGAAGGAAACATGAGGCTTGTATATATTATCGGTGATAGTAATATGTAATCTATTACGCTAGTTCCTTACAAGGAATAATGAAAAACAGAGAAATAAGATCTATAAACCACAGGTAAAATGTTATAGGCTGCATGTATATATAATGATGCAATTGTTGCATGTTCTCGTAACTTTGGTTGGAGCAACATGTGGAAGAATTTATGTGTAATCTTTTTAAATTCCAAAAATAAATTAAAACAAACAAACAAACAAAAAAAAAAAAAAAACCCAAACCACCACTGAAGATATGACCATAATGGCAGGCAAATTTGAGCTTTACAGGCAAAGCAATTTATATGAGATTACTGCATTCAATCAACAATGGTGTTCAATCTGCTTTGATGGATTTGATGATGAAAATGTTGCCACATGATCAGAATGGTAAAAGTTATTACCAAATCAGTAAAATTGCACAACCGTGGTTTTGTGGCACATGGAGCATTGTAGCATGGCATCCTGCCTGTTGTTACAGATGGCATTGCAGGGATCCAGCCACTTGCCTACCCAGCAGGTCCTTTGATGCCAGTCCTGTTGCATTATAGGGATTCTTATATACCAGTTTTTCTGGTGTGCCTGATGTCCTGCTTTTGAAATCAGCTGCTGCCCTAGGAAGCAGAAAATGGCACTGCTGGGACTGACTACAGTTTGTGTCTTAGCACTTTGGAAAGCAACATGCTGCCTTACCTGGGTGACTCAGCAGCTGCAGCAGCAGCAGAGCAGGAGAAGGGCTCCTTGCATGGCTGGGGGTCTGCAGCTGGTGCCAGAAATGCCATGGATTGTCCCTGTCTACTTACCATGGGCAGCTGCCCACAACACAGTGATAATGCACTCTAGGCTAATGTCCTTGTTAGAACTTCTCAAAGACAACAATTGTATTTATTTTATGTAGTAACTGCCGTCATGAAGTCAACAAAGACTTACAGCACATGAGACATCTGAAGCACGGATGTATCACCAGCAGACACAGAGCTCGTCTGATACTTGCCTAGTGGTAGACAGCTAATATTAGAGTTTGGAAAGGGAAGCACAGGTTTCTTCAGAGCCACCTGATTTTTTGGCAGCTGGAAGCTCCTGGCTCCCACCCTTCTGCTGTCCAATGATGGTCTTAGAGTAGCAATGGGTAAAGTTCAGATTCCCATCTGCGAGCCAGACACCAATCTGCATCAATAAGCAGGTCTTCTGCTCTGCTGGGATGCCAAGCCGAGCAGACCACCAGTGCTGCTCCAGCTGAGCTCAGCCCCGGCTGCTCTGCTACAGTCCTCATAACTCCAATTGAGCTGAGCTCATCCAGTCAGACCAGTTTGCCCCAGGTTCTGGGTCTGTGTCAGCAAAGTTGCCAGGTTGCTGTGGTTGAGTGGCAGCTACATGTCAGTCATTGCTGACATGAGCTATGGATCCAGTCAGAGGTACCCTCACCAACACCAAGAGCACTTCTGTTGGTACTCGGCCATTGCTTAATTTTACCCAAGAGACTGAAACTGGATGCAGTTGCTTCTTACCTGTGCTCACTGGCACCTATGGGTTGAAAAATGTTATCAGGACAATTTATTGCTAACTTCTTTGAGTTTTCTTTAGATGCTCTTGCAGACTTTCCCTGTATCTGTGCTTTCAACACTGTGGATTAGCTGCCCTCTAATTGAGAAATTACCTGTTCATATCCTGTGCTGCCTGGTTTTGGTCACAGTATTCTTTAAGTGGGAATACAGAAGTAGAAGTTGTTTCCTCCAGTTAAGATAAATAATAAATCCGGAGCCAGTTAAGCGCTGCCTGTCACCCTCACCTCCTCTCCCGTTTATGACGGTGCTGGGGACGGCAGCTGCTTTTCGTGTGATCCTAGGGAGCTTGGTGTGGTTAGGAGCTGGACACGCTCCCCTGGTGATGGAGGTGAGGGAAGAGTAGGTGATAACGTGACACATGCCTGGGGAGGAGCTGCATCCCAGTACCCACAACAGCAAAGCTTTTCCCTCTCTCCTTAACTGAGATGTTCAAAGAAGCATCAGAACCAAATCAGATTAAAGTTAAATCGATTAAAATCCTGTTGTAATAAGTTCGATGTGTGACTGATGCGCTGCTAGGGGAGAAGCATGCCGCTGCAGTCGATCTCCCTAGCTTTCCACTTCCAACCTCTGCTTTTCCGAAGCAGGGGGAGCTGTACCCGTAGCTAGGTGTGTGCTCGGCCTTGGCGCAGAGCTCAGGAGCGGCCGGGAGCGGCGGAGCGGGGCAGGCGCGTGGAGGGAGCCGGGGGCAGTGCGGGGCAGCGCGGGGTGCCGGGTGCTGGGCATGGGGCTGGGCCGTGCTGAGGCGGCGCGCGGGGAGCGCCCGGCACCGCTCCAGCCGGAGCCAGGCGTTAGCTCCAGGGCGGAGGGAGCGCCACCTCGGTGCTGGCCCCGGGGCCCGCTGCTGCCCCCGGCCTCCAGCAAGGGGGGAAGAGGGAAGTGGGAATGGCGGAGCGGCCTTCCCGCCTGCCCCGTGCAGGGGGGACGAGGGGACCCACACAGGCTCCAGGGAGGCACTGGTTCAGCACAGAGATCAGGAGACGGACCAGGGAATGGCTGACAAGGGACTAAAGAGGAAGAAAAATGATGCCAGATTGAACCTGCGACTTCCAGGCCTGCGATTTCTGCCATCAATGTCTAGCACGGAGGCAAAAAGGAGGAGGTGAGAGGATGGTGGGACACGTCTGGAGAGGCCAACAGGTTCCCTTGCTTTGGGAAACAACGCCTCATCTGACACTCTCTCTGCTGCTGCATATGGGACTCAGCAGCGTCTTTGGAATAGCTTTAAACTGTCCGTGCTTCTCAATAGGTCACTGCTTTGTGTCCTTTAGGTAAAGTGCTATTAATCGAGCTGCAGGAGGCTCTGGCGTGGGGAACACGTGAGGCTGCCTCCCGGCGAGGGGATGGCCACCATGTGGGTCTGGCTGCATTAGGAGCAGCCCGTGGGAGCGGGTGCCAAAGGGAACGAAACGCTCGGAAGAACGTCGGAGAAACACCGCTGAGTGGCCTAAGTGGAAGCCAAAGAGTCTCAACTGCTGTCTTGAATCTTTCTTCAAATCTTTTATTAAATGTTTAAGTTTACATTATTGAATGATAAAAAATTCTCTGTGAATACCACTATGCATCTAATTGTTTGATAGAAAAGATTAAAAAACAGTTCTGTGATCATTATTTTATTCCACTGCAGGACTAACACAAACATAAAATAAAGCACTTGAAACTCTGCGTGAGGCAAAAACTCTGAACTCAGACCAAGCCAGGAGTATGATTAAATTTCTGAACACTCAGGTTAACCTTCTGCTGTTGTTTGTATTGCTGCTATATTCAGGAAATAAGACTTTGGACAGAGTATTTGCATAAGCAGTATTTGCATATGCAAAGAGATAACTCATTCATCTAATCATTCCTTTTTCTTCCGGTGAAAACAGTCCTAACAAAATGGTCCTGAGTACATTCTAACTTCTCGGTATCCCAAGGGTCAGCATAACTTATATGTGCTGACATATTCGCAAACTTGCTCAGTAACTTTGTAAAATGGGGATCCATTTAGCCATACATCAAATGCAAATGCAAAATAATAGTTTGAAAGTAATTAAAAAAAAAAGGTCTTGCTCTTGTGCCAGACGATTGTGAAGTGAAGGGATAATAGATGAAAAAGATGAACACACTGTGTTCACATGGTGATAAATGTAAACAACTGGGAATTTTTATACTCTGCCTCAATATTGCAGGTGCAACTGCATATAACTACACTGTAATGCTGGATTTGTAGATGATTTATATGTCTAATTAATTTTCTTTGAGTTGAGTCACTGGTGGTTTTTTTCAGTAATGGCTGATTTTGAGCATCTGTGGGAAAGTTTATTTCTCTGTCACCATGACATGTAGAAGCCTTTGCAGAAGATTAACAATATCAGCTCATCTCACTAGGTGCGG